TATATATATATATATATATATATTGAGCACAAATACATTCCTTCTCACTGCCAGATGTTGTACTCATTGAACATTTAAAACACCAGCCTGGTCTCCGCACGAGTACATAGTCGTAACTCGTATTTACATGCATACCTTGGGACATAGCCTCCGAAAGAGACATGAAAGAACTGATTAAAAAATCTCAATGACCTCTCACCTCACATTCTCATAATCTCATAAAAAAAGAATAAACAAGAGAGAGTAAAAAAACAACTCGGCGGGAATTTCACAGATGAAGATAAAAAAAAGATGCGGAGCTATCCTCAATCCGTTAAACGGGGCTAATACAAAAGTTGAACATGAACGCTTGATCTGTTCGAAAAACGTTTAAACGGGTCAAAGATTGAAAAGTATTTGGTCTATCGCACGAAACAAATAGACACTTTAGAGGGGAATTGACAAATATTTGAACTTCAGGGCTCCGAACATGCACCCATAGATACTACCATAGGGCCGAACCGATATAAACGTTGAAGATACACACGTTTGAATGTAAACGTATTGATGTTAGATGCACAGGATACAGCAACAGATGACAGATACGAATTTGGGCATTTTTTCTCACTCCCAATTTCGAGTTAAATACAGTGCGGCGGGAAACTGTAAAGGGACGTTGCGCCTTCATTCGAAGCAGTACTCGACAAACAAACACGCACACATGGTATGATGAGAAGACTCGGACTACTACAGAGACTACATACTGCAGTATCTGTCCTATCGGTGTCACGTTGTACGCAACAGCACAATCTCTTCATTATCCCGCTATAACAATGGCTGAATGTGTACGAGTGTTAGGCACAGATCAGGCACCATGTCCCGTTTGCAAAGCGTAGGATGCGGCATGTAAGGTATGTATTGCTGGTTTTGTCAGTATGGCTGCAAGTCACGCTTCAATCTTAGTCACAATACACTTGAGCATCAATCCGCATACACAATGGGAGGTCGCTGCAGTTATGAAAAACCACACTCTCCTTAACGCATCCAGAATGGGTATTTACCGCAGCACAAATTTGCGAATGTATAACTGGATGCAATGCAGAGTTTCATTCAGAGAAAGATCAGCGTGGATTACTTAAATAGTATTTCAACTGGTAAGTTGAGTGAGAATGCCTAGTACAGGATCTATAGTTACTCATTTTCTTTCGGCTTTGCATATGAGACTCGAATAGCTGATGCATCCCTCATCAAGCGAAACGCGGTGCGGTTCTTCTTACAGCGCTCTCCCGCATATCCTAACTCTTTTTCTTAAAATCACATTTTTCGTTCAATTAACTCCTGTTATGAACGCAGCACATGCCACAGATATAATTGCAATGCTTATCAAGACATATCGCGTATCGGGTGGTTCTTAAATTCTTTATTTCAAAAGGAAACGCCACTGTCTCTGTCGATTCCCGGGGTTTACCCCTTCAATACTGAATGGACATACAGAGTGCGGAATACAATTCACACTTTACAGCCGATAATTTCAGTTCCATCGCTTTGCTCATTGCCGCCATCTCGGGTTCCTTACTGCGAACATAGATATTCGTACGTACCCTGGCTCCAATAACTCCACAGGCATGGCCTTGCACATCACGGGCTGTGTGGCACCTCTGCACAGATCATGTGTACCAATCACTGTGCATTCGGCAGAGGGGATGAACCCCTCTCGTCCACTGCATCTGGATTACTGTGCGTAGTCCCATCGGCTGGGTCTAGCCCAGATGTCTCGTCGGCCACACCCATAGTCAGGCCCATGTTTAGCTGGTCTGGTTGCCCCGGGTGCGGTCCACCCATCCATTGTCCGGGTTGTTGCAAACGGCACCCGTCAGGCATTTGATGGTGTTGGCCCTGTGGCACCATGCACATGGGCTGCCCGTATGCATTGTACATCCCCATGGCGTGCTGTGGCATCATCTGCGGAATGGCAATGGGAGTCGCATTCAGCAGTCGTAGGATATGAACATATATTTACCGTGTGATATGATATTTAATATGTGGTTTATATCCGAATACGAATACGAATATATATATACGTACGCACGTAAGTATGCATAAATACATGTACATCAATATATATATATATATATATATAGCATTATATACGTATACATACATATATTTAGGTATACAAATATATATACTATCCATATATGGATGCAATCACATCCGCCTACATCTGCATATACAGTGCTTACAGATGTACACACTGCTATATAGATAATACAAGGTCTTTGGTTGACATTTGGTGATGAACCCGGTAGATATTTGATTTAACGGCGATACTACACTTGTAGGACACATGATTCAACAAACCACGAGGGAGCTCACTAGCACAACAATTCAATAATGAACCAGCAGTCTTCACCTGCCGCTTTAGTCTATATAGAAGTGTCGATAGCGAAGTCCAGCCCACCCACACACACAAGCAGACCAAAACATTGCACGCACAACCATGGAACGGGCACACGCTCACATATCATGACAAGCACCAACACACACACACACCCTCATACCATGCCAAAGTTCATTTGCTGAAACTGCTGTTGCATCTGGTGGATAGCGTCTCCATCGTCCCCCGCGCTGTAAGCCGATTGCCCAGCAGCATTGGCACCCATCCCACCTAAGCTGTCGCTGGGGTCCACGAGTTGACCCGTATGGGTAGGGCTGGTCGTGCAGCCCTCTCCAGGCGTGTTTGGAGGTGTGTGTACACCGCTCGCCTGTGTTGTGTGTAGGTGTTGTTGTGCCTGGGCCTGTTGATTTTGGCCTGGTTGTTGCTGCTGCTGTTGAGTCATGCCCATGACTCCACTCATTGGCGTCTGCATGTACCTCTGCGGTTGGCCCATATTAACACCCCCCGCACCCCCCGTATTGACCCCTGCACCTCCATACAAGGGCATAGGACCGCCTGGGCCATTCATAACGTTCGGTAAGGATCCCCTGTGCTGTACATGTGGTGCATAGTACGCGCTCGCTCCAGTACCAGGCACAGGGACCGATACACCGTTTTGATCCATCATCTGGGGCATGATTAGCATTCTGTGAAGTGTTATGAGAAACGAATAAGTCGAACGCTAGCAACGTTGTAAGCAATGACACGCACAACGAGCAGATTTTGTGTTTGTGACATCTCTCTTCCATACCGCGTGTACGTCTTTATCACACACCGCGAAATACGTTGCCTGGATCTCCGCACTTACAAACACAACAAACTGAAAATTCACGACCACATCCAACGCAACCCCGGGTTTACTTTTGACACGAAGACTTACCCGTTAGCATCCACCATTCGCATTGGCATATTCCACCCAACCCCATTTATAGACCCCCTATTCTTGCCCAAGCTTCCTTTCCGATTGCCCCTGCCTCCAGCAACCCCCACACTCTGTGTCCCCATCATTTGCCCGTCCCAGGAGCCATACCTCACTCCCCCGCCCTTCTTTCCAGTCGTGGAGTCTGCGTACCTGATCTGTAAGGTTGATTGATGTACGGAAAGGCCGAGTTGGAGCATGGTGATATGTACTGTACATGCACACAGACTAGAACTATGAAACCAGAACATGTTTATAGCAGAAATGTATTCTCACATATCACGAGACCGTAATATTCAGCGAGACTGTACTTTGTCAAAAACAAAAATTTATGCACACTCCATGGCGGAGCATGGCAGCCACGTTTGTGTTGTTAATTTTGTATTTTACACGTTTTAATATTTAGAATATATAGAACACATACACACACAATGAATAAATGAATTAACAAATGCGCTTGCGAACGTCGCACAATGTGTATATCCATCAGCAGCATACATGCCCACGAATAAACACACCCCTCCAGCACACACACGCATACCTGCAGAGGCTGGATGCACCCCGGCATGATCATATGGTTGAAGTTATTGATGATATTCTCGCATTGGTCCCGTGTCTCCATGCGACAGAACCCCACCCCCCGACTCAGGCCGCCGCTATCTCGAAGCACACGGGTAGAGATAACGGTACCCCAGGGCATTAACATCTGCAATAAGTCTTCCTCCATCCACGTGCGGGGTATGTTAGCCATGTACAGGTTGGTGTCGTCGTAGTGTGCATCGGATACGTTGCGGGAGCTTGTACGTGCCGATGTTTCCTGGGTGGTGTGTGTGTGGAGATGGGAAAGGGGCGGAGGTGATTTAAAGACATACTATGCGGTATGTTATATGAAATTCTTGGCCGTTGTTTTGCTGTCTATGTACTATGACGCGAAACTTGGAACATACACACGCACACACACACATTATATACATGTACATATATACATACACACACACACATATATATACATATACATACATATATGTACGCATACATACATAGACATGAATACATACATACGTCCATCCATGCCCCTCTACTCTATAAAAAACCCCATGCAAAATCAAACACATGCCCTCATTATACTTCCAAAAACACACCTTCGCAAACGAGCATTGCATCCCTTGCTTGGTCAGCTCATCCACAGCCTCTCGCGCACAGTCGTGCAAGCTAAACATGACAAACCCGTATCCCCTGCACTTCCCCGTTTGTTGATCCAGTATGGCTTTCGCACTCACTATGTCGCCGTACTTACTGCACATGAGAATCAGATCCTGATCTGTAAACGCCGGACTCAGCCCAGATATGTACATGTTCGTGTTGCTGATCCCCTCCCCACTCTGCACCCCATTCTGCGCGGCTCCGCTGGTGCTAGCCTGCTGCGGGTTGGTGTGTGTGTGTGCTTGTTCTTGCCTGTTCTTCTTATTCTTGTTGTTTGATGATCGACCATTTGAATTCTGCGACTTAGGGGTGTTCTTGCCACTCCGTTGATTTTGTTGTTGGTGTTGTTGTTGTTGGGGTTTGGGTGACATCGAAGGGGTTCCAATACTTTGCGGTTTACCTGTAGAGACGATGATGGTAATTCAGTAATGTTAAATATAGAGCGGATTAGTTCGGTACATCACATCTTTACGTTAGAATGCGATCGTGCTTATAACACAAGGTCCTCGCAGAAGAAGTAAATAAGGTTGACATTGAAGTCCTACTAATTAAACCACTTTAGATTCGTGATTGATCCTCGCCAATGCACGCTCCAGGTATTAAAGTTGTGCGTGCGCTATACCTTTTGTACTCTTCTCATTCGCTGTGGTTGTACTATTTGTATCGTGGGCGGATGTGTCTGCTGCGATCTGCGCCTGCAAAGGGGATGAGTGGAAAGTCGTCAGATTAAATACATGTGGTAGTTACACACATAATAAGGGGAAGACGATAAGAATACAGCTCAGTGTGCTCCCGAATATGGAATAATATGAATAAGCGCGTCGTGCATGAGGTTGACCAGCTCGCAATACACGAACTTTGTTTCGACTGATACCATTTTCTCATTTTGAACCAGCTATCTATCTCGTGATCTTATCCCAAGCCGATGATAACCCACAATCTTAACATACGTAAAGCTACATTCTTGTCACGAATCAATCCTACATGTTTTGCACAATGAAACTCGAACAGAGAAATACGCACTGGATGTGTACGTGTTATAGGTCCTATTCTATCGAAACGGATGATATCTCGATAGGCAATCCATAAGCAGCACACAACTACGCAGATACACATTGATATCCCCTATGAGCATACATTTTTTCACCATCATGGTTTTAGTTTGCACGACACGAAAATTAAAAACACATAATAACACATACAGAAACACATACCGGTGCCATCCTGTCTGGCGCCGAGGCCACCGGGGTAGCGGCTTTAGGAATATCTTCCGTCATGAACACTCGTCCTGCTACCTGACTGCGTAGGTAAGTAAACGGAAAAAGAATCAATCCTTTGCTGTAATTCCGATGAATTGTAGAGTTGATTGGAAAAGGTTGAATGATTCGACGGGACATCATGTGCTGTTTTACATCCGCCACAAAACAAAAACAGTGTCAAGTTGACACGAGGGCGTCGACATTGAAGGCATTGAAGGTCAAATTGAACCGAAGCTTCATAGACAAACACGTATATGCATCCATATTTACACAAACACAAACACAAACACAGACACAGAGTCCACACGCACACACACGCACATGTGCACGCACACATAAATATACATATATACATACACACATGCACACGCACGCACACACGCACGTACACATACACACAAACACACACACACATATATATAAATATATACATACATGTATACATACATACATATTTGTGTATATATATAAGTATACATATAATA